TATACAGTGAGAGGAGGAAGAGCAGATACTAGCCATGCTCACAACAGACTCAGCATTTTTACATGGGTAGATTTGTCTGTTGCAAATGCATCTGGTATCAGCTCTTTCTGCTCTCAGTACTACAGGCCCAGGTGGGTGAGGTAAGTATAGAATCATAGAATCATAGAATAATAGAATTATAAAATCATAGAATCATAGAGTTGGAAGAGACCACAAGGGCCATCCAGTCCAAACCCCCTGCCATGCAGGAACCCCCTGCCATGCAGGAACTCCCAATCGACCTCACCTTCAATAAGTCTTGTGAGAGGAAGAGGGAACATTTACACTTCACAGTTATAACATTTTGTTTTCACTTTAGCCATGGTGGCATACTATGGAATCTTGGGGATTGGTAATGTACTAGAACTCCTTGGCTGACATTCTAAATTGTTGTTTGCCTTCAAGTCATTTCCAATTTATGGCAACCCTCAGGTGAATCTATTCCAGGGTTTTCTTGGCAAGATTTATTCAGAGGGGGATTGTTTTTGCCTTCCACTGAGGCTGAGAGAGTGTGGCTTGCCCAAAGTCAACTAGTGGGTTTCCATAGCAGAGCAGGGAATTGAACTCTGGTCTCCAGAGTGATCATTAAATGTTCAAACCACCACACCACACTGGCTCTTGAAGGCTAGCATGGCATAATGGTTTGAGTATTAGACTGCAACTATGGAGACCAGGGTTTGATTCCCCACTTGGCCATGAAATCCATTGGATATACTTGGACAAGTCACATGCTCTTAGCCTCGAAGGAAGGCAAAGACAAATCTCATTTCAATAAATCTTGCTAAGAAAACTCTATGATAGATTCACCTTAGGGTCACCATAAATCAGAAATGGTTTGAAGGCATGCAGCCACAACAACAAGAACAACAGCAGCAACATGCAAGTCAGAGCAAATTATTAAACAGAGAACCTGTCAGTATTTAGAAAGGAATGCCATAACTGCAAAAAGTCAACATGGGTTTGTGCCTCCTGTGTGCTGTCCCTACATTCCTTCCTGCACACCATCCCATCCTTTTCCTCATCGGGAAAAGGTGGCATGGAGAGGAGGGAGCATGTGCCACCACACCCAGTGTAGAGATGCCACTATATGATTATGATTCTAAATCCCAGAATATCTTAGATCTTGCCATGACAGTTGAAAAGGAGTCACAGCACTAAAAGTGTGCAATGTGAAAGGGCTCCTGGGCTCCTATGAGATCTCTACTCTCAGGAAAGCCTAGTGGGTTTTTTATAGGCATGTCTCATGTGTACTGGTCTTGAGATGGCTTGGTGACAGAGAAGGCTGTCCCATATTGCTGTTTGGAAAAAAAATCAAGCATTCCTAGCTGGGGGAACCAAAAAAGGGCTCATACCACTCTAAAAATCCCTATCTGGGAATAGCCCTTCAGAAGATGTGCCAAGCTATGACAAATACATGTCATTCATGCTTGATCTCTTTCTAAATGGAAATAATAAATTTTTGAAAAATTGGTGTTGCTTGCCCTGGAATCATTTTATATTGGACTGTTGT